AGAAATAGACAAATCCACACTACGGCCACATCTCTCTCAATAATTAATTGACAGAATAGAAAGTCAGCAAAAACATGGAAGACTTGAACAACTTTCCTTAACTGACATTTATGGAGCATTATGACATAATAGAATACTCTACCCAACAATAAACAGCAAAATATACTGCTGGATATAGAATACATTTTTCTCCAATGCCCACAGAGCACTTCTAAGACAGACCACATTCTAGGCCATAAAGCAAGAGAGAATACATTTAAAAAAATTTAAGTCATATAAGGTATGTTTTCTAACTACATGGAATTAAATTTGAAATCAGTAACAAAAAGATACTAGGAAAATCCCCAAATACTGTAACTATAAACTACATAGCATACTTCTAAACTAACCCATGGGTCAAAGATAAAAAACAAAAATGAAATTGGAAAATAATCTGAATTGAGTAAAAATACAACACGTCAAAACTGATGGGATGCAAATAAATTAGTATTTAAGGATAAATTTATAGGACTAAACACCTAAGACTGGACTCATTAATTTCAGCTTCCATGTTAAGGAGCTAGAAAAAAAGAGCAAATTAAACACAAAGAGAATGAGAATAATAATATCAGATTAGAAATCAATGAAACTAAAAACAGAATAACAAAGAGAAAAATCTAATCAAAAGCTGGTTCTTTTGAAATCAATAAAACACGTTGGAATCAACTGTGTTGAGAATTTAAGCTATTAATCTTGCCTCATTCTAAATTTGAAGAAATTATGGAGACACAAGGAAATATTAGATACATAAAGTCAGAGGTTACAGTTCTAATCTACCTATTTTTCTCTGAAAAATATAAAAGGCATTATCAATCCCTGGACAAACCACATAGCTCTTCCAAACAATAACTGTCTTGGAAGTAAAATGAAGGGGGATCGAATTAAAAAACCTCTAAAATCTCTTTAAATTCTAAGATCTTCTACATGCCAAATAAGACGTACATATGTGCTACTAACAACTACAAATGACTTGAACAAGATGCTCTGCTAAAACCCTGGGAACTTAGAGAGAAGTTGGTCAACATGCCTGTAACTAAATTCATGTTTAAATATCAGCCTTGGGGAAAATCAAAGGAGAGTTTCAGTTTAATTTAAAATCAAAATCCAATGGTACTAATTAACTTAATCATCACTTCTCTGCTCACTACCCTTGTGAGAAAGCCATCTTAGATGTATTACTTCTTACTCAATTTTTGTCCCCAATCTTACTCCTTCCAGGAATATGAGTTCCTGATTAACAAGAGGTCTGTCTGGAAAATGTCCAGCCTTTGTTAATATAACAAAAATGGATTGTGCGGCATTGGTGTAACCTTGGCAGCCAAGGAAATGCACATGCATGAACACTGACAACTTCACTGGAGTAGTCAGTGGGAGCAACAGACACTGTTGAGTAAGCATGAGTACTGTGTGGCCGTCGCATTCAAAATGAGCGAGTAGAGCAATGAATCTGCATTCAATTTTGCATTAAGCTTGAACATTCCTTCATGGAAACTATTTGGATGATTCAGAAGGCCACGCGGTTGATTGGCATCTTCATCACGACAGCATGCCCACTCACGCCTCCTATTTTGTGCAGGAGGTTTTTGGCAAAACATCAAATCACCCAGATGACTCAGCCCCCCTATGCCCAGATTTGGCGCCCTGCAACTTCTGGCTTTTCCCAAAACTAAAAACACCTTTGAAAGGGAAGAGATTTCAGACCATCTGAGAGATTCAGGAAAGTACAATGGGGCTGCTGATGGCAACTGGGAGAACTGTGTGAGGTCAGAAGGTGCCTACTTTGAAGGGGACTGAGGTATCATTGTTCTATGTACAATATTTCTTGTATCTTCTTCAATAAATGTCTCTTCTTCATAGTACATGACTGGATACTTTCAGGACAGGACCCTCCCCACCCCCCGCCTCAAGCCCATACACACACGTATAGTGTGTGTGCATGAAATTATAAAATGAAGAAGTTAGAGGAGCTGGGATGAAATGAAGGCCTCTTATAAACAATTTGTTCAAATGTCCTTCTGCGGGCCAGGTATTTTTATTGTCTAATATTTAGGAAACTTCCACTGCCACCTTTTAGGAGAATATTACCTTATGCAAATAGACCATAAATAATACTGAAATCTGTCCTGAGTGTTCAGGTCTGGATAAACAACTAGTCTTGCATAGTAGTCAATTTTACAAGCATGGACTCCAGAGCCATACCATTTGAGTTCTAATTCTGATTATGCCATGTATTAGTTCTATGACCCTCAATAAATTATTTAACTATATGGAGATTATTATGAGCATTAAATAAATCAATACATGTAAAGACATTATCATCCTCTCCCATCTAGTTTGATAAAGAATATCAGAAGCTATGAAAACTTTAGAAAGATTATTGAAATAGCACATTAAGTAAAACTTACGCTTCTCTCAATTTCAAGTGCCTACTAAATTATATATTGATGTATTCCAGTGGATCTGTGCTTATGAAAACATAAATACATGTGACTAGTTTAAAGAACAGTTTTAATGAGACTGAATGAGCTTTTATGCTCAACTATGTAATCCACTGATGCTGCAGACATCCCAAATTCTCCCTCAACTAAGATAATTTATAAGTATTAAATGCAGGCTCTATGTAAGACCTTTCACCTTCAGTATTTTAAAATACCCTCATGGCTCACTAAAAGTTACATGCTGAATAGAAAGATGAGGGTCACATTCTAACAGTCACTCAACAATTGTGTGACCTAACCAAAGGGCCTATTTGCTCAGTCTCATTTCCTACATCTGTAGCATGTTGAGGGGAGAATGATGAAAATGCCTCCTCTATCCCCATGACCATACAGCACTTCTCAATTCATGTTGCTTTTCCTTCCTTTCTGTTTGATGTCTCCTGTTGTTAGATTAAATGTGATTTCAACATAAATGCACATTTTTAGTGTTCCTTCAGAAGCTTTACTTCAAAACCACTATGGAATTAAAATAAGGTGGGAATAATCTAATGACATAATTAAATAAGATTGGTACAACTTTTCTAATAATTGCCCACTTCAGAGTAATTAAGATAAAGTACCATCATCATAAGCTGATGAGAATCCTATGATCACTATCACCTTCTAGAAGTAGCCTCAAGAAATACCCAACTCTAGCCAATTTTCATTCATTCAAACATCATTTTCCGCAAATATTCTGGTATCGAAAAGGATGAGACTAAATAATATTCAACAGGTTATTACTATCCGGAAATGTATTCCACAACTAATTTATTATGGGCCTACTTGCAGGGATAGTTTTCCTCAGAATTAAATATTTTGTAGTATAGGGAATGCAGACTGGTGCAGCCATTGTGGAAAGCAGTGTGGAATTTCCTCAAAAAGCTGAAAATGGAACTGCCTTTTGATCCAGTGATTCCCCTGCTGGGACTATACCCTAAGAATCCCAAAATGCCAATTCAAAAGAACCTATGCACCCCAATGTTCATAGCAGCACAATTTACAATAGCCAAGTGTTGGAAGCAACCTAAATGCCCATCAGTAGATGAGTGGATCAAAAAACTATGGTACATTTACACAATGGAATACTACGCAACAGAAAGAAGAAAAGAACTACTAAACTTCGCGACAGCATGGATGGAACTGGAGAGCATTATGCTAAGCGAAATAAGCCAGGGGGCGAAAGACAAATACTGTATGATCTCACCTATAAGTGGAACCTAACCAACAATACAAAGCTGCAAGGAAAATAAAACCAGCAACACTGAAAGGAAAAGAAACCAACAGAGACAAGAGGGAAGGAGGGAGGGGGGGGAGGGAAGGGAAGGGGAAAGTCAAGGAACATATAGCAAGGACTCATGGACAAAACCAAAGGGGAAGATTTGAGGGAGGGAGAAAGGGGGCAAGGGAAAGTGGTGGGGGGAAGGCAGAGACAAATGTATTTGAAAAAATAAATAAATTTAAAAAATAAAACAAAACTAGATTTGGTGGTTGTTGCCCAACCAAAGATATTTACCAAGCTCACTGAGCTATATATTGCATGTAAATTATACCTCAATAAAGCTGTTAAAAGAAACCCTCCCAAAAAAATTTAAAAAAAATATTCTATAGTATAAAATAATTTTTTTAAAGGTGGGCATTTTCATTTAAAAACCTGTCTCCAAACTTTCTGAGCCAAAGCATTCTCTTCCATGCGCAGAACTCGGTTTTTGCCAAGTACTTCTCTTGAGAGATGTGCAAACCCGGGCCCACGACGAGGAGCCCTGGTTGTGTTACCTTCAAGTGGAGTGCGTGGCACAGCTTTCCATTCCTACAATCCCAAACTATTTTACGCGGCTGTCTTTTGATAATCTGGACTCAGTGAGGACACAAAGGCTAGGGATACCAAGGGACTGCTCCCACAAACGGCACTAACCACGTGCCCCCAAGTTCTCACGAAGAACGGAGGCAAGCGGCTGACCAAAACCCAGACGCCAGTGTGAATCTGAAACAGCTGCACAAAGCCCATCGACTACTCCCTTAATCAATCAAATCAACCATCAATGTTTTGATTGACTGCCCATTTCCTCTCATCTTAAAGACAACCTAAGTAACCGGTACCCGAAATCCTTGAAGTGTACTGGAGTGTTCCTCCACTTTTTCAGGAAATTGGATGAGAACTACTGAGGGAAACGACAGTAGGACAAGCGGACTAGAAACCTCCGTAAGAAAACAGGTGCGGAAAGGATCAACGGTGTCATTCTTTGACCAAAAGCAGCACTGAGTGCGAGTTATTGACTCTGGGAAAAACAAGCTTCCCAAAGGCCGGCAGCCGCCCGGCCCCACGGCTCACTTCTCTACGCGGTCTGCACGGCCGTCGCTCAGCAGGCCCAAGTCTTCACTGAGAATGGTACAAACACAGGAACGGCCACACACTTCCGCAACCGCTCCGCCTCGGGAACCCCCTTCGGGAGCCGCGGCGGACTGCGCCCGCCTGGTACTCACACACGCACAGCTCCACCACGTACGCGTAGTAAGACCAGGCCACCACGAAGGCGATGAACAGCACCGGCACCCATCCTACGCCGCGCTGGCAGCAGTGCCAGAACCGCCCCGGCGCCATGTTCCGGGGCGGCTGCAGCACCAACCCCCGAGGAGTACCGAGCTCCGGGTAGCGACGCGGCAGATCGGACAACGGCTAATCCCGCGGAACTGCCCCTAAAGCCCGCCCACCGCAGCGCCAGGCCCCGCCCCCGTGCCAGGCCCCGCCCCCGCGCCGGCCTCTGCCTTATCTTGAGGCAGGGCTCCTGTGGCCAAAGCAGGTAGGCCCGCGCTGGGGACTGGCCTTCGGCCTGGGACGGCCCGGGGCGGGCGGCCGGAGGAGACTACGCGAGGATTGTGGATTGGGTGGTAGTACTTGTCTTGGGTGTGCTAAATCAGAAAGCACTTCCTGGACCGAAGAGCTGACTCTTGGGCACCCTCTGCGTGTACAAACTACACTTCCGGGGCCCATTTTCAAATAGGGCGAGGCCGTGCTGTAGCAGGTGAAGGCGAGGGACATGCGTTATTGTAAGCCTCCTCCAGGGAGGCCGATGTGCATCTCTGATTAAGAACCTTGAACTTTGAAATCCTTTGCTCCGGGTTTCAGGCCTAGCCCTCCAATTTTGGAAGGTGGAACCGGTAGATGCCTGTGATTTAGCATGGAAGCCTGTAGTCTGTCAATTTGATTTAAAACACAATCTGAAATCTGAGTCGTAAGAAGGGGAGCAACAACCCTTTCCCTGACCCCCAAGGGACTCCAGAAATTTCTAGAATTTATTTACAACTGGAGTATTCTGCTAAACAATGCTTGTAATTATAGTAGAACCTAAAAGTAGCACTATGAAGATGTCGTAATACAAGTAATTGCAAACTGCATTTCTTGATACTGTCACGTCTATTTTTGTTAGACTAAGGATTAATTAGCTACTGCTCAGTAAGTTCTCCATGAAGCACATTTCCCCGTTATAGTGATGTAAAGGTTATAAAAGCAAATAATATTTATAGCGCTAGAAATACTAAAGGGTGTGTAAATAGTTTTTTCTCCCAGATTTTATACCTGAAAGTCATGTTGGTGTCAAAGCTGACAGTAGCTTCAAGGTATTAAAGCGAAATAAATCCAGCTTGTTTTACAGAGATCGTGCTTAAAAGGGCTTTCAAATGGAATTTGGATTATTGATGGGAACACCGTAACAAAGCCCTTTTCCCTTCTGTCATCTCTAAAGCTCAGCACAATTGTTATGTCCTGCAGAAGTCTTTCTTGATCACATTAGCTGGCAATGATTTCTTTCTGTCATGCCATTTTGCTTGCAACACATCTATTAGTTTCCTGAAACTGCCATAACAAAGTACCGCAAACTGGGTGCCTTAACACAACAAAAATTTGTGGTGATGGTAGCCTGGAGTGTAACAGTGGAGAAGGTGATAAAGAAGCTATTTAGGACTTCAACTTTGGTGCACCTCTATGTTCCCAAAACATAGAAAGAGTAGACATAAATCTAAAAATAGAAAACCAACAGACAAATGCAGGCTCAAGGTTCCATCGTACCCAGCCCCCAACAAATGAAACAAAAATATTATACTGATTGGCCCTTAGAATTATGACTTTTAATGGAGACTAAGGACAAACTGAAGCTCCTTGACCTGGAAGTGAATCAAGCTGCCACCTGGCCTGGTGACTGGATATATGGTGTCCCCTTAACACCAGCCAGGAACTTCAAAATGCCATTTTAAGTTCTAGTTCTAAACAGAGCTGGGGTAAAATAAGGGCAACTAGAGGTAGCTATGAAATCATTAGGGTTTATGGAAGCCCTGTAGCAGCCAAGAAAATAGAGAAAATCTTTTCTGTCCAAAAGAAGATACAGAATGAAAGGGGCTGGGGGCTGGGGGGGAGGGTAGGAAGCAACAACAACAACAACAACAAAAAGATTAGAAACAGAGAACACACATGAGATGATGTAACCAAATGCAGGTCCAGCTGCCCGCCTATTCAAAAGCAAATATTCAAGAAGCAGATGTTCATGTAAAACTGGTTTTATTCACATACTGGCAACCTGAAGATGAGGGACTCTAACCTTGAAGCCCATCTCAGCTTCTCAGTCCAGGCAGGAGTTATTATGGGAGGGAGAGGGACAACAAGGAGAACAAAGCGATGCGTGGCGGGGGGGGGTGGGAGAGGGCGCGGGGGGGGGGGGGGAAGGCTGTGGACATTCAGACAGTGTCCTTGCTGTTACTGATATGGATCTTTAACGTCAGCACCCTAGAACTGATCAGTGCCAGCCAAATTCCTGCAGTTGGAAGATCTGCATTAACTAAAGTTGTGGTCAAGGCTGTTTCTTGTATAAGCAGGAAATGGAACTGCTGGTACCTGCAATATGCTTACAACGAAACTGTCAGCATGCAAGTTCTTTCCATCAGTTTGTTAGTAGATTTTATTCTAGTTCCATTTCATGGTAAATCAGAGTAGTATGAAGTTTTCATTTCCTGTTATAATTCACCATTGTCAATTTTTCTTCCATATCTATGGAGCTATTGATGTCCTCTGAATCTTCTGGGGGGATGAAAAACCTGAGCCTGTTGTAAAGCAAAATCTCATGAGTTAAAAGCAGATATATTTTTTAGAGGTGTCTATTGAGCAGATGCAATTTTTCTGGTGTGGGAAAAATAAATTGTAAGAAAGTTTAAACCAATAAAGACAAGCGTTATAAAGAATACCCATCATTAATAAAGATGGGGGGATTGTCTGAGGGGAGTGGAAAGTGCTGCGGGGGGGGGCAAAGGGGGAGGAAATTAAGGTAACTGTAACAGCAAAATCAATAAAATATTTTTTAAAAAGAAAAGAGTGGTTAAACCTAAACTAAAAATTCCTCCTAATATGGACCTGAGTCCTTTGGTATGCAAGAAAATAGACTTGCAAACCAATCTCAAAAAGGGAACTGGATGGTCCAGTGTTTGTTGAAGCCAGGAAGCCTGTTGCCTGACTTTGGTGATGCTTGTTTCCACCTGAGCGGAAGTGTCAGTGTAAGTACAAGAAGAGTTGATGGTCATGCAAACTCCTCCTTGTTCTGATAGTATGTAGACTAAGGCAATTTGATTATCTAAGACAACTTTAGCTTGAGAGTCCACAGATTTTTTAATATAAGCAAGTGAGGTGGCAGTTTTATTGGCTATGGTGATTAAAGTATTAGAGAGATTCCAAAGTACATATTGATGTGTAGCTACTCCCCTCAGGGTACTAGAGTACATCTACAGAAATATTCATCATTGTCTGGGATTTTTCCAGGGAGATCTCAGGCCACTTGGTTGAACATTGAATGCTTGCCATGGAGTCCCATCGTCCCAGACAGTTTTATTTATTTGCTGTAGACCTCAAGAGAGAACAGTTTTCCTCTGGGTCTCCCTAAACAGGTTAAAAGCATCTGGAGTTAAAGTGCATGTTTTGGTGAGGACTGCAGGTGAAGCTGCTGCCTATCGGGAGAAAAGGTTCCTTGGGGGACAATTTACAGAGCAAGTCCTGTCCCAGCAGAGTGATGGGACATTTCAGGCAAATAGAGGAAGCTGTGTGATAACTTAAGATTTGTGAGTTGGCATTCTAATGACTGGAGGGAGGCTTGTTGCTACATTTGTTTTGTTATCCCTACAAGCAAGGCTGTTGTGGTTTTTGTTGCTGTTGTTGTTGTTGTTTTTAGCCAATTTGGAGTTCAATGCAAAATATATAGCTCCCATGTCTATTAAAAGTTAATCAACTTGTTCCCTGTTGTCAGTTGTATCTGGGGCTCCTGTGGGGAAATAATGGGTTGGGAGGTATTTAGAGGAGCTTTGGGCTTCTTCATTTACTATCTGAATCATCAATCCATTTCATTATCTGCCTGTGTGTCTTTTTTTGTTTCATTCTCTTTCCCATGCCTGTTGCCAGGCACCTGAGCTTTCCACCTTGGTGACATTCTGCACCTGGTATATATTTTTTGTTCCAATCTTGTCTGTGTATAAGTGAAAATAAAGCTTTGAAGACAGTTAATTGAGCTAGAGTTTAATGTCCATAATTATGTATTATAGAGTCTATTGAAATAACTTATCCCTCTATAATCACCCTCATTTTTATCAAAGAGCCAAATCAAGACCAATTCATTTATTGTATTAATTCCAGTTTTAGTTCTGCTTCATTATTTGCATAAACACAACAGGAATAGCAATTGATCATAGGCGCTCTCTCTCTCTTTTTAAAAAAGTGAAAAAAACATCACTTGGTTGCCTCTCATATACCCCCAACTGGGGACCCAGCCTGCAACCCAGGTATGTTTCCTGACTGGGAATTGAACCAGGGACTTTTTGGTCCACAGGCCAGCACTCAAGCCACTGAGCCACAGCAGCCAGAGTTCATATAGGCTCTCTTAAATGTGCTTTTCTGGAATCTTATAAGGAATTTCCAGATTGAGCTTTATTCTTTTTGCTTTTCTTTTTTTTTAAATCATATTTATATTACAATTATCTCATTTTTCCCCCTTTGCCCTCCTCCACCCATGAACCCTCCTTCCCCCTGCTCCCACAGTCAAGTCCCACACTGCTGTCCATGTCCATGGGTCATTCATACATGTTCTTTGTCTAGTCTCTTCCCCTTCTTTCCACCGCTGTCCTCCTTCCCCATCCCCTCTGGTCTGCTCCATGCTTCCATGCCTGTGGTTTATTTTGTTTTGTTAATTTCTTTTGTTGAATAGATTCTACTTCTAGGTGAGAGCATATGGTATTTGTCTGTCACCAATTGGCTTATTTCACTTGGCATAATATTCATCAGTTCCATCCATGTTGTCGCAAAAGGTAGGAGTTCCTTCTGTCTGTCTTTTTTTTTAATTCAGATTTTATTTATTTTTTAAGTGTCAAAGTCCACTATAAAATATTTAAAATTTTACATCCATTAAAAGTTTCAACAATTAAAACATGCCACCAGCACAGAAATACTCAAGTAAATCAATGAAATAAAATGAGCATTCTAGAAACAAATGTATATATATATATATCTGTTTAACAACATAATATATGATTAAATTGATATTTCAAATCAATGGGGAACATTCAGCAATAGGCTTATTCAACAAATAAGGTGCATGGACAACTATTGAAATAAAACAAATATAGAAGCTTATTTCTCACATTATACAAGAAATATTCAGGTGA